TGTGAAGATTAGATGCATATGGTGAAGATGACCCTTACATTTGTGTATATAAAAGTTTGGTGTATAATAAGTTTAACAAGATTCAAACAATCACATGTAGGCTGAAGTGAGGTCTTTGTTGTGTGCTGAAATGGACGATGCTTACGCTGAGATAGGCTTTCCGAATGAGGTTTCTGATCCATCAGTTGATACCATACTTGAAATGCTGAGGGATGAGTACCAGTTTGAGCATAATGTCTGGGAAGGAGGTGTGAAGGCTGGGGATGTTGATTGCAAAAAAAGGGACATCTGTATGTATCTGACAAAGACGAAAGTCTCCCTGCAGATGTGAACAACCATTGCGACGGAGGTGAGAACAATGGATCCACACATTCTGCAGGCGGAGAAACAAATGTGCAGCAGGAAAATATAGATGACGTTCCCATTGAAGAGAGTGAGGCGGAGGGGAAAAAAAGCAACATGTGATGGAGGTGGAGGCGGTGCGGGAAGAGATGTCATTGAAGGTATAATTCGTCTAGCTGCTGATGCATTTGAGGAGAGAGCTTTAGGGATGTATGAGGGATTTATTGTCAGTGTGAAAGAGCATATAGAAAACCTACTAGAAATCCAGAAAAGGGAGTTGCTTGATAAGATGCGTCAAATTGGTAAACCAGGCGGCTGTGAGAGATGGAAAAGTGAAATTTGACATGACGGTGTGAAAGTATCATGTGGAAAAAAATGCAGTGGTGAAAGAGGGTAATGTGCGATATCTAGAGGCGGTTTTATGTAAGAAAAGTATACCCCTAGTTGGAGAACCAACTAGCAAAGGTGCTTCCTCTGACAACAACAATGGAGGACAAAAACCGGTGGGAAGCCATGACCTAAATCTGGAAAAAATGCAGAGGTCAGAGATATATCCCAATTTAGGACATTCGCTCAGTTAAGGTACATATTATTCAGTGTTACGTCTCCTAACAAATACTTCTGTTTAGGATGTTGCAATGGAGGAGGGTCTGCAAGGGAAGCAGGTTCCAGGCTTGGAGAAACCAAGTTTTTCTATAGGCCTCACACAAATGGAAACTGACACTAAAACAGTCGAGGAGATAAAGGTCCATCTTTATTGATATTTATCCCCAAATATGTGCTCTTTACTTATACAAACTGCTTTTCTATTGAAACTGCAATGATAGCTAACATGTTGCAGTGGGGTGGGAGTAAGAAAAGTCTCGAGCCAAAGGGACACTTGAAGCGGACTGGTGGATCAAATGCAAGCGGAAATGTTCTTGGCCGTCGTCGTTCAAAAGAATGTTGAGCAGGTTTGGTTTGTCATATTGGAAGTAAATATGCTATATAAAATCATTTGTCTTTTATAGTAATGCAGTTCTATTGCGCTGTTGTAGACAATGCGTAAAGAATCTGGGAGTGATGTAGATGGGGAAGATAGTGACCCTGATAACATTCCCATTGCGTTCTGAAACAGAAAATGCCAAAGGACTGTGTCAAAGAAGGATACCCCGAAAGAGACATATAAGAGACAGGGGTAAGGGAGCAAAGCCGGTAATATTCCTAAGGTAGAGCCTATGAGGAAAACAGAAGCAGCGAATAGTTCTATGGATGAAACTCCCCCAAAGAAGGTCTTCCTACTTTAATAGGTGGGTTTGACCCATTTGACCACCAACTGTCAAATCGCCGCTGCGGTTTCATTAAGTTACTAGAGCGGAAGAAGTAAGTGTATATTTTGCATTCCTATTTTTGGGTATTTTACACGTCTACTAATTGAAAAGTCTAATTTACTGTCAGGACGTACAAAGTAGGAGTCGGGTTGGAAATCGACAACAAATAATTTCTTGACATACTATATGGAAAGTCCTTACTTTCTGAGGAGGTAACTTAGGCGTAGTTTTTTATTTTCCTCGATATCAACTCAATCGTTAAATTGGGTCAGCGAAATTTCAGTCGCGCGTGTTTTAACAAAATTTCAATGCCTCGTACAGGATGTCGATATGCTTGTCAACTTCATGGAGAGGAGAAGGGATCAAGAAGCAAACAATCGCTTTGATTTCCTTCCAGTTGCATATCTAGATGAATTAAAGCGACATTACAGTCAGTTTTCAGTTTCAAAGGGAAAAGAGACGTACGACTTCTCTACGATTTT